CGGCCCCCTGTGCAGACGCACTCTCTTGTTTTTTTTCTTCCTGCATTTGGACTTTGGCACTAGCGCTACAGGAGGGTTTAGGCTGATCTCAACAGATTTGACCCTCCGCGAGTGAAGAAGAACAGCTTTTCTGCCATGCCCAGTTTTCAGGAACCGCTTTAAGCCTCATGAATTCTCTGTCTGAGGCAAGTGGAAGGCTGTGAGAGAGCTTCTGGAGAAGATTTGGTCACGGCGCTCCGAAGTTGACCAAGTTGAAATTGCGTTTTGGATCCCAACGGGTCGCGCGGTGCGCGGCGAGTGGGGCGGCGTTCCATGGTGGCTGACACTTGGTGTTTGGGTGGTTGGTGCCACGGTGGTTTTGTTGAGATGAGTCTCCATGTGGCAGTGGATCAAGAATCATTTGGGGTGTTTGGAGAGCTTGCTCTTCATGAGACGGACACTTCCATCGAATCGTTGGCTCACCACCCGAACCACTGGAGCCAACCGAGGAAGTGTTCTGTTCTTCCGAGGGCACCATCCCACCATCTTGTTCACGTGGTGATTTGGGTCCACCGTGATCTGTGAGGAGTGCAACGTGAAGGAGAGCAAGTCTGCAGGCGTGTGGCCATGGGACTCAAGCAAAGAGACCAGGACCTTGGAGACAGATGAGATTCTCGACCTCCGATTTTGCACAAGAGCATACTGTGATATGACCATGCATGATTGAGTGGAAGAGTTCCCAACATGGGTTTCCTTTAATGATCAGGGTGGATCTTTGGATCATCAAAAAGTAGATCAAAAGTGTTTTTGGTAGGGCTTTGGAAGGGTATTGGCATGTCTTTGTACTGAGGGACACTCCAGCCGATCCATATATTCATGACTTTCCAACTCACTTTATGTATAGATTCATTTTGAAGAAGTGTGCGAGAGTCGGTTGGACACCCTTGCAGAGTCTCAAGTGTCAACAGAGTTTGCAAGCTTGTGATGACTTTTTTTGGTTCCTCGATTGTCCGCTTCCTGTTTTCAATCGGCAGCCGCTTGACTCCACATGATTCGACTGGCTTTTCATCTGAGGAACACCAAAGTCGTGCTCATCTCCCGGCTTTCAACCCGAACCTTTGAACTGCTCGAGAGGATGCTAAGTCAGATGAATCGAACGTGCTTCGGCACCGATCATGGCGTTCAGCGCGCTGGTTCAGGTTCCCCCCGGCGGTGGGCACAGAACCCTGAAGAAAACGACGTGGGCTACCGGGTGGTTCCCCAAACGACGCGATTTCGGTGGACACCTTCAAGAATTGGACCGAAACATCGATCCAATCATCATCCAACCTTGGATGAGAAAAAACCTTCGTCATCGACCGCAAAAAGACGTCGTCTTTTCTCATCGTCCAAGAACCTGAGAGGTGCCAGTAGCGTCCGATCGCTCCGTTCGTAGCGATGCCCTTTGTTCCTAGTAGCTTCTTGCTCCTAGTAGCAAGGCCAGGAGCCCCTAGTAGCGTCCTTGCTCCTAATAGCGAACCTGAGAAAACCGTCCCACCGTTGCCGGCGGAGTTTACCGCATCGACCGACGACCGCGGCCGAAGGTCGTTTTTCTCCGCCGAACCGCGCCGGGTCCGCGCCCGGTGACGCGCGTGAGGACGCGCGTGAACCCGGCCGGTGCGGTGAAGTCACTTTCGAGGGTGCACCATTTGGATGAAGTAGTAACAAGTGCCACGCTAACAGTCACAGGTGCCTTACTAGTAGTAACAAAGTTCGCTATTAGAATTAAATTAAGTTTAAATTAATAGCTTCATAGTGCCTAGTGGCTTCTTGTTTCACTAGTAAGGCCCTTGCTCCTAGTAGCGATGCACTTGTTCCTAGTAGCTTTTATAGGTCCCTTTTGGTTCTGCGTGTCTTTTGATCAGAAAAAGGAACACCGATCCAGCCAAGAAGTGACAGGATCCTGCACCTGGGAGTCGGAGCTCCGCTCGCGATCGTCTCATCGTCTCGTCCGAGGTGGTGCCGCATCGATCAGTCCACCCCGCCGGGTGAGCACCGCGATCGTCTCATCGATAGCTTCAACACCGACCCAACAGTGACAGCGATGCTGTTGGGCATGAAATGTGGAGGGACAGGTGGGAGGTGACCGGGGAGAGCCAGTGGGAAGTGACGGTTCCTGGGGGGGGCGCAGGAGTTTTTACAATCTTTGTAGATGTATGTTGCAAGCAATATGATGCGAATGAATGTGCCTTGTGCAGTACAGAGAATGTGGAAGTTGTTGTGGAGCAGGAATGTCCTTCATGAATATGTGCTCCTTTGTAAGGATGGGTTTATATCCAACGTCATCATTTGGTTGATATTTTGAAGAATATTTGGTTTGCTCATGGTGGAGAGTTGCCACAAGCGCGTAGCGTGCACTCCCGTTCATGAGGGGGAGCCTCAAAACAGGAAAACATGGAACAAACATGAACAAACCATTTCGAGGCCATCGCTACCAGGAGCAAGGACGCTACTAGGGGCTCCTGGCCATACTACTAGGAGCAAGAAGCTACTAGGAACAAAGGGCATCGTTACTAGGAGCAAGGACGTTCTAGGTTGGAGGCCATTTAACGCCCGGGTCAGCAGCTTCACGCTTTGTTTGGGAAGCCGACATAAACCTGAAAGACACATGTTGGTCCACCTGTGTGGTCCGGGTCTATTTCTCCGAGATTGCATGCTTTTCGACGTCATGCTTTTCGTTTCGCTTTGCGCGCATGGGATTTTGTATGATTTTGTTGGGGACTTCGTCGAGGTGGACGATTTCTGGAAGGTCTGAGAGAACAAAAACCATCTTCATCACACCATCCTAGCGAGGTGGACCTCAGTAGGAACGAGGCCATTGCTAGTAGGGTGGAGGCCATCGTTAGTAGGTTGGAGGCCATTACTACTAGTAGCAAGAAGCTAGTAGGATGGAGGCAGCATTTCTTTGAAACAAATCCAGCCCTTTTTTTCGTTCAAATCCGACTTCTTTGGGCCTTCGCATGTGTCTGGATTCGTGAGGCACCACTAACTCCCTCATCTTGGCCTTGAGTCGGCCACCCTAGTGGTGATGGCCTCCCACCTACTAGCGATGGCCTCCAACCTCCAACCTACTAGCGATGGCCTCCATCCAACCTAAGAGCGACGGCCTTCAACCCAAGAGCGATGGCCTCCAACCTACTAGCGATGGCCTCCAACCTCCAACCTACTAGCGATGGCCTCCATCCAATTTAAGAGCGATGGCCTCCAACCTCCAACCTACTAGCGATGGCCTCCAACCTCCAACCTACTAGCGATGGCCTCCATCCAACCTAAGAGCGATGGCCTCCAACCTACTAGCGATGGCCTCCATCCAACCTAAGAGCGATGGCCTCCAACCTACTAGCGATGGCCTCCAACCTCCAACCTCCAACCTCCAACCCACTGTTTCGGGGAAAAGCGTTTGGAGTGCTCCGACTCTGCGTGCAGGCATCAATTTGCAAGGTGCCAAAGTGGCCGTGCTTGTCGATTGCTGGTGGAACGCCGCGCGGCTTGGCGGGAAGAAATGCCACGCTGATGTTCAGCAAAGGCCAAAAACCTCCTCTGTACGAGAATTTATTGCTGAGTGTAGCTGCTTTGAGGACTGAAGAACAAGCACTGAATCGAATTCATCGCTTGTCTTCACGGCACCCTGAAATCTACTTCTTCAAACTCTACTCGAGCAACAACCGCGCGGAACAGAGGCTTGTCCGTTTCTGAGCAGGAGGTGCTACGGCAGACTCCATCAGCTTGAGTTCTGCTTGATATGGTGCTTACTGTAACAAACCCGCATGAAAACAAAGACTTGGAGTTTGCATGTTCAAGTTTTTCCATGTCTGGAGGGCCATTTGGAGAGTTCCACTGAAAAGGTTCCAGTAAATTGCACATATTTTTGAGTTCCTGGAGTGAGCCGCCTCGCGCGGCCGCCTCGTGCGGTGCCTCCAGGTGTATGGAGATCCAGAGGGAGAAGTTGGACAGTCTGAGACCAGTTCTCGCTACTTGAGATTTGACCAGTTATGATAGCGTTCGTGTCGTAGTATCGTCCCTTGCTCCGGTCGAGTCGCGATGCCCGTTTTTTTTACGTTCGGTTCGCGTCCTCTTGTTACTAGTAGAAATGCCAGCTACTAGTAGCGTTCTTGCTCCTAGTTAGACTTCGATGTCACCACTGGTTATCAGTGGAAGATCATCTTCCATCGAGTCCATTCGGAAGTGGCCAGGATGCCCTGTCTGTTGCATGTGCTTTTCGTCACGACCTGTAAAAACAAGAGTCCTTCTATGATACGACCCGTGGAGTGGACGACTCGTAGGATGGTTCATGTGCCCAAAACGCGCAGTGTTGGGTGAAAACCGCACTCGTGGTGCGAAGCGAAGTGGTTCCGTCATCCTTGCTCGAAACAAAGCCCCTGGTCTTTGGAGTTCGCGACCTCTGACGAGCAGTCGAAACGTGTTCTGTCCCTTTTTGCACAACGTTTTCAGGATGTTCGAGTTTCCCCACAAAGTTTCACACTTCCAAACACCCTTTTTTTTGAGCACCGGATGTGATGGTCACCCACTGCTCTGCACTCTGGGCTGTTGGTGCTTTTGGGCATCCCACGTGCCTTTGAGTGATGATTTTCGCCTTGATGGAAAGACCTGTTTCGCTGCTTCGGAAGCTGACAACAGCATGTTTTTCATGGTCTTTCTGTCAGCATCTGGTCTTTCAGTTGGCTCCCAAAGTCAGGAGGACACCAGCTCAGCGGGACTGGATTGAGTAGAAAGACCGGCAAGCCGAAGAGCTTCACCATTCGAGCTGACATGAAGATGCATGAAGATGCATTCGTTGCTCCAAAGTCTTCGTTGCTCCAAAGTCATTGAACTGAAGAACCAGGTGATTCGTTTGGAGATGACTCATCCACAAATCTAGATGCTATTAGGATGGAGGCCATGACAATTAGTTGGAGGCCATCGCTCTTAGTAACTCAAAAGAAGACGGTTTTACTATTCTTACTTGAAGGTCCACGTTCCCAGCCTTGTGTCCTCCCAATTCCTCCCATGCCACTGGCGCCATGTGCCGTGCCATGCACCGCGAGACCCGCCGCGGCCGGTCTCGCGGTGGCGCGACCGCCGCGGGTCCGAGTGGGGCGCCGGCACGCGCCGTGGTGCAGCGCCGTGGTTCCCGTGAGCGCCGTGGGTCACAGGCCGCGCTGGCGATGCCGTGGGTGGACCAGTTCGGGTGGTGAACGTGTGCGGCTCCTCGGTGCACCAAGCGCGGCTATGCGAAGCACCAAAGGAAGCTCTGGTTCCAAGAGTGGTCTCTCCAACTTCCCAACAGCGCCAGAATCAGCGCCATGATTCAGCCGGTCATCTTCTTTTCCGTGCGCACGCGGCCAGGCTTTGTGGTGCCTTCCGGCGCTGCGAGCGCCGGGCTGCCCAGAGGCAGAGCGGATACACACAGCTCGAGCGGAGAATCTCAGGTGGTCACAGCATGAACACATTTTACCCGAAACAGTCTTCGGTCCCGAAACAGTCTTCTCTTTTCGGAGAAGTCAGAGGTTCGGAAAACCCTCTTGATGTGCTGGTATGTTCCTGTTGAACAATAATATAACAATATATAGTACAAAGCATGCTTGACCAATCTTGGGGATCCAAAAAAGAATAACAATTGCACAATCCACCGGTTTTCGTGGCGATTGCTAAACGCGCGTGCCGATTTACGGGGTCCGAGCATCACCCTGAAATATGACTGGAGAAAGCCATGTGCTCAAAGCTATTCCGGCCGTGGCGAACTCAATCCACCTAAGACTTGGCAGATGGCCTTGTGCCTTGTGCATCTACACTGGGTTGACAAACCAGAGAAGTTGATATATTCCTTAGCAAACCAGTGCCACTTGTCATTTGCAGATCAGAAGCCCCAGCCCATGAGAAGCCCCATCGGAGCATCGCTTCGTCGGCGCGGTCGCGCTGTCGCTTCGTCCGCGCGTCCGCCACGGCGCCGTCGCTCGGCGCGAGCTCTGCGTCCAATTGCTCGAAGCGTGTTTATTCCCTTACTTCATTCAGTAGGTGCCTACTTAATTAGGTATTAGGAGGTTAAGCTACAAGCAAAAAACAACCAACCGACCTCCAACAATCGGGAGGAGAGCACTTCTCTCCGAGACCCACTCGGCAGGAGACCCGCTTCCCGTGACTTCCCTTCTCGCTTCGCCGAGACGGCGAAGCGGTGCACCGAGGGCGGAGACGTGGCCACGGTCGTCGCTCCTTGAGGCGCAGCGTGAGCTTTTTGTTGGAGACGTGGGGGGTAGGTGGCGCACTGGTTGGTTGGAGACGATTTGCTTGTTGTGCAAACCTGGGCGTGTTTGGATGAATGAGCCGTCTTATGGCCGCCTTTGTCCTATATACCCCAAAAGACTAAACATCTGCAAACTGCCGCTCTCCATTCCGAGTATTGCAGAGATTCCGAGTCCTAAACATTTGAATCTAAACATCAGCCGATTCCGAGTCCTTGCTGCTTCAGACCGAACGCGGAGTCGCTCCAGGCCGGCCTCCGGCGCCCGGTCCAAGCTGGTCGACGTTGAGGACGCGCGGTCGTGAGGAACGCGGTCGTTTCAGGACGTGGCCAGCGACGCGCCACTCGAAAAAGCGGTCAACTCGATGTGCTTCATGCGTGAGGAAAGACCAAGGTGGTCGGTAGTAGCGTCCTTGCTCCTAGTAGCGATGCCAGGAGCCTTGTTCGTAGCGTCTGATCGCTCCTAGTTGTGAGGCCAGGAGCTCCTAGTAGCGTCCTTGCTCCTAGTAGTGAGGGCAGGAGCACCTAGTAGCGTCCTTGCTCCTAGTAGTGTGGCCAGGAGCCCCCAGTAGCGTCCTTGCTCCTAGTAGCAAGTAATACCTCTAGGTATCACTTGCCCGGAATCTTCCTGCCCTGCGTCTTTCCTCACTTTCGAGGTGAACGGGTGGACATCCCGCGGCCCGCGGTTGGTTGTTTCGTTGGGCTTTCGACGGGATTCTCAAGCTTCGTTGGATGAACCTTTCAGATCTGGCTTTTGGATTCACCGGTGGAGCTTGTCTGAGACATGTTGGTCACAGCAACTGCTTCATTTATGGGTACATCTTGGTTTCGATTCTGCCGCTTGTTTGCAGATCTTTGTATCTTTTGAAACACGATCCTAAGGCCTGGGTGCCGTCTTGTTTCCTTTGCCAAGCTAGGAGAGATACATCATACATCCAACTCGCTAGGAACCTCCTTACTGTTTCATGTCTACATCACAAAAAACCAAAGAGCAAAGGCCCACACCCTTAGGAAAACAAGAGGGACATTACAACAAGAGGGACACCACGTTTGGGCTGTTGGCATTTCCAAAACGTCCGAGTTCTCGAGTTCGATCCTCGAGCTGTTCGCTTCTGTAGGGCTTCCAGGAGTCTATTTAGGGGGGCTTTAGGAAACATGACACATGAAGATCACCATAGCAGCATTCAATGCTAAGAAAGATGTACCAAAAACTCTCTCTCTCTCTTTCGATACGCTCACGAACAGCAGAGGAAGATGCACAGCTGGATTTTCGGGGTTTTTCGTATTTGAACTGATCCTGAGTCGATTTGAGGAGATCGAGCTGGAGCGGCCTGCGCTTTACATGGTGGCCACGTGCGGAACACCCGGTTCCGAGCCATCGCGTTGGCCGGACTCGCGTTCTCGTCTTCGCACGCGTTACACGGGATCAACGGATGTCGGGTGCTTCGGTGGTTCCGAGTGTTTCGAGAACTGCCTTATTCCGTTCGTAGCGTTCTTGTTCCGTTCGTAGTACGGCCAGGAGCCCCCAGTAGCGTCCTTATTTCTGGTGCTTTCGTTACTTTCGAGAAGGTGTTTCTGTGGTGTTTTTTTGGGGGCTTTTTCCACGTGGCACAGCTGGAGACCAGCCGACGACCCGCCCAAACCGCGTGGCCAGCGGCGGATCGACGTGCAAACCGCTGCGTGTGCGTGTCCGTGGTGTCCGTGTGCGACGGGTGGAGTGGACTGGTAACATCGGAGCGAAAACGAACACGAACCCCGAACGTGACGGGCTCGTAGCTATCAGCCGCTACTCAGCGGACTCGTTTGTTGCCCTTGAGCTACGTTTGTAGCGATGCTTGTTAGTAGCAAAGGAATATATGTTCAATACGCGAATGCTGTTGATTACCGGTAGCGGCATGAGGCATGAGGATTCGAACATGGTGGCCGCCCTCAAAGGAGTGTTTTGGCACCCGCCACTGGGTTTTCCTTGGACTGCGTCAGCTGTCAGGCCTATTGGAAATCTGAGCGACATCACCCTGAGAGCTTTGCAAGTCCTGCGGGAGGCTGGCAGCTGCAGCTGGCAGCTTGCTCATCCAAAGGTTTGCAGGAGTTTCTCCACTCCCAACCATGAACCTAGCACCGGACTGTTGGTCAAACCTCGATTAACATCATTTTTTGTGGCCAAGTCTACAATCGATATCTTCCTCAATTGATACATGCGGGGGTGAAGAATCTTGACGACTCATGGACGAAGAAGGAGAAAAGCAAAGACTTGAGACCTTTCAAAAAGAATCAACCCCCCCCTACTGTAGCTAGAAACGATGGCCTCCAACCTACCATTGATGGCCTCCAACCTAATAGCAAAGACTTAGTGTTTCGCGGGGAACGGACGAACGGCGAGTTTTTTACATCCGCTGGAGGTCGATGTGATCTTCGCAGAGGATACGAGGTGCGAGGTGTCTCTTGGGATGGGACACCTTTTCTGCGTTCACCAAAAAGGTCAAGGCCAGGAGCCCCTAGTAGCGTCCTTGCTCCTAGTAGCGATGCCCTTTGCTCCTAGTAGCGTCCATCATAAAGGGTTCCAATCCGAGAGATTCACAGGATGCAGTTTCTTTGGTTTCCTGGCAGCCGGCCAACGCACGCTTCGCAGGACCACTGGTTTGCTGCTGTCGCGCTTGGGCATTCAGTTGAACCAACGACTTCTGCTGCCATGCCACGCCTTCAACGAGGTGCCAGCGGTATGGCTAGGCTAAAGGGTGGTCTCTGGCGGGTTTCTGGATAACACGTCCGCATTGAACCGTTGATAAGAGGTTTGCGACCAATTCGAGCAGATAACCTGTAGGGGAGCTTCTCAAATCCTCCTGTTGGGTGTCGGGCGCCCTTCAATCTTTTGGGATTCAGTACTGGTAGCGATCCATCAAAACATCCATCATGCTGAGATCTCCAGACATTTTTTGTGGACTTCGACGTACAGGGGATCTATATCCACTTTGGAGTGAAATCAGAGAAGCCTTCTTCCTTTGTATCCTTTTGTTTTCCATGCCAGGAGCAAGCAGGACAAAGCCTTCTGCGGAAGCTTCGTGACAACCAGTCGCTTGGATGGAAGGACGGCCAAACGGCCTTGGACAGGACGAACCAACCTCGGTTGGCTCAGGACGCCCGGTCTTGGTTTTGTGGGTTTATGGCCATGGGGCTTTAATTGTTTGAGTCTGATTCGTTTTTGAGCCAATGAAACTGTCTGTTGCACGGAACCTGTGAAACTTCACGACCTCTATTTTGAGGACGAAACCACTCATGTTGACGGCATTTCTTTGGAACGAAACCTCGTTCCACTCTTTTCTTTCACATATTTTTGGCGGGGCAGCCCCCGTGCCATAATGGTTTATCTCGCGGCTGCATTCGTTCTCCACCCGTGATTTTTTGCCCCTCTCCTACTGACCCATCTCTTGTAAGTCTGATAGATGAATGTAGATGACATTTGATCACCACAAGACAGTAGCAAATAGCTACTAGGAACAAGGGCATCGCTATACGAACGGAGCGATCGGACACTACTAGGGTCGCTCCTGGCATTACTACTAGGAACAAGGATGCTACGAACGGAGCGATCGGACGCTCTTCGTCGTCTTCGTCGGCGACGCGTCCTCCAGGTGCGCGGCGCTGGTCTCGGACGCTGGGACGCCCTTGATCTCGGACCCGGGCTACGCGGTGGTCCGCGCGGTGCGTCAAGGCGAGTGCGTCAGCGTTGGGCGGCGGCGACGTCAAGGCCAAAGGAGGTCAGCGGAGACGTCAGCGGTGACGTCAGTGGGGTTCTCAAGTGGATTTTTTCCCCAAACAGTTGAGCTGTTGGGGTTCTATCTTAGAAAAACATAGAGCCCACACTCACTGGGGCGAACGGGATGTTGAGATTTGGGGTGACATGTCACATGGTTCACCGAGCGTCATTGGTGGGGATCCGTCGAGCTCTCCATCTCCAACCCGAATCAGCTTCGAAGAACACACCGGGGGAGCCTCGCACAGCTTCTTGCTCCGTTCGTAGCGATGCCCTTGGTTCCTAGTAGCGTCCTTGTTGCTACTAGTAAGGCACTTGTTACTAGAAGCGATGCCCTTGGTTCCTGGTAGCTTCTCGCTCCTAGTAGTAAGGATGCTCCGTTCCTAGTACGGCCAGTTTCGCCCCGTTCGTAGCGTCCGATCGCTCCAGCCTCGCCACCTTGTTGGCGTGCCGATCACCGACCTGGTGAAAGCTGTTCGGGAAAGGAGTGCCCATTTTTGACCCCTACTTGGTGGTCCAGGGTGTCACCCAATATGTGAGTCCAAATCTTCGAAAGGCCTCCTCTCCACCGCCAAACAGCTGCACAGCTGAACAAACAGGTGCACCAGACCCACTGGCATCCTTGCTCCATTCGTAGTGATGCCAGGAGCCGCTAGTAGTAAGAATGCTCCTAGTAGCGATGCCCTTAGTATTGGCTCCTAGTAGTAAGGCCAGGAGCCGACCGCCCCGTGCGCAGAACTGCCAGGTGCTCCGCAGGTGCCCGTGCGCAGTGTGCCGGGCTGCTGCGCGCTGGCCGCCGCGCTGAGCGTGGCGGGGCTGCCGTGTAGCCGTCACGCGGCGGCCATCGGGGTTGCACGGGGTGTTGGGCTGGAAATTGGTTTCGCATGCCGATTCGCATGGTTGTGTCCAAGTGGAATTCAATTAACAGTGAATTTACTTGCAGTTTTGTGATGCTGGACTCGGGTTTTCTGTGATGTGTCTTGATGGGTTTATAGTTGGAACTGGTTTACATGATTTGTTTTTGCGCTTTGGTGGTGTTTGGCCACGTACACCAGGACGTCCAACCTCTACTTCACTGGCCATGTGGCTGGGTACGTGGCCTCTTGATACCCTCAACCACCAAGGCCGAAAAGGACCATGACCACTGGACTACACCACCAAAACGGCACCAAACGCCAAGCAACTCCCGGGACACCAAACCAGTAAGTCCAGTAGGAGTGTGGGGCCCGACTGCGTCACAAGGTTAAGTCCCAAGATCATTTGCGGAACAACCCTTGGAGGCCATCGCCAGTTAGGCCGCAGGGCCATCGCTAGTAGGAATTGAATTGTTTGAATTGTTAATGGAATTCGGAAACGACATGAAACAACCCTCCAATCTCCGGAACCGTTGGAACCTCCGTCTTTCCCCCTCCGTACTTCGTCGACGCCTCGGCGCAGTATGCCGAGGCGTCCTCTTCGGGGGCTTTCTGCCGAGCGGCGGCGCCGCGCGGCTCGCTGAGCTGCGGAGCCTTCTGCGGCAGGCGCCGGGGCCTTCGCGCGCTGAGCTGCGGGAGGGGGTTCGTTGGAGATGAGGTTCCGTTTGGGGGGGGGAAGGTTGGAGGGTGGAAGAACGAGGTTCATTTTTTGGGTGTCGAATGGAAGGTTTGCAGTTTTGTTTTTTTTTTTTGTGACGAACGTTAAACATGATCCAGGAAGGAACGTTTATATAGTGACGAATGCTTAAAACAAAATAGAATTGCTTATAAGCTACTAGTAACAAGTGCATCGCTTCTAGTAACAAGTGCCTTACTAGTTACTAGTAGTAACAAGAAGCTATTGGAAACAAGAAGAAATTAGAATTGCAAGAATAATTGCTTACATGATTGAATCATGGAAGCTGTGATACGGGAACCTGGACAAGCGCAGTGGTTTCCGACAAGGCCTCCACGGGCACCCTGGTGCTTTATGAGGCGCCTCACCGGCTGTTGTGGCTTGGAGCAGTGCAGGCAGTACGTTTCCCGTGGTTTCCAGGCTTCTGTTTCTACTAGCGTGGCACTTGCTCCTAGTAGCGTGGCACTTGTTTCTACTAGTAAGGCACCTGTTACTACTAGCGTGGCACTTGTTACTAGTAGCGATGCACTTGTTCCTGTAAAAGGAGCTGATTCGTGAAAAGTCTCCCTGGTAAGGAGCAACTGCAAGGAGTGGCAACTTGCATCGAGTTCAGAATAATCATTCATCCAAAGCTGACGCAAATGAACAACGTTTGCTCCCGAGTTCAGGCTATGATCAAAGTGCACCAACGTGCCAATCCCATCTATTCAAAGTTCAAACCAGCGAACATTCACTGCCAATCCTCATCACCCACACACACAAGCCCATGCTCAGGCACTGGGGGTTCCCTTCTGGAAAAGGCTTCAATCCCTTCTGAGGAACACCTTGGAGATGCTCCGCGACGAGCTCGATGCAGAAGACGCGCGGGAGCTGGCCGTGTGCCGTGCCTCAGCAGTGAAAGCAGCTGCGGCGGTGTCGACGGGCACGGCACACGTGCGAGAGTAGTCTTTGGAACAGAAATACTTGGGGAGGCTAGGTGATGCTACGTGTTACTCATTGCATCTGCCCATCCCCATCGATGATCGTCAAAGCAATTCGTCGGTTTCCAGCACCAGAGATGATCGTCATGTTACTATGCCCTGTCCTGTTTGCAGAGGCGACCCGAATTAAGCTCTCCCAATTCCACCTCGAGCTCCATGGCATCCCGCGAGAATTCCAGGCTTCGAACCGCTTCGAACCTGTGCCGCAGACAGCTGCGGTCACGATTCCGAGGTGAGCTCACCAAGCGCTACGAGACGGTGCTGCGAGGTGCGGCGTCGTTGTTCGGTGACGAGTGAAGAACATTCACTCAACTTGATCCGGGCGAGACGAGCCACAAGGTGTTTTTTGGCTTCGTTTCGGCAGGGATAATGAACTGTTGAATGAGGAGAACACCTGGTGGATGGGTTCCGTGACTGGAGTTCCCCACCAAGTGCCCGGGCTCCTGGTGAGCTCATTCAGATCAGAAAATCAATCGAAAAGGAAAGAGAAAACATGAACAAGACAAAGGCAGCAATGCGGCAGCCCAGTTTTTTCGCGAAGAGGTCAATCAACCTTTACCTTTCCTTGTATTTTTCCATGCCCATTTCGGGCGGCTTCCGGGATTCCTCGGTCTTCTTTCGGTCACGGTCACGTGGAGATGGTGAGATGGCCTCCAATGTAGCGATGGCCTCCAAGAGAAGAGGAGATGGGTCACTCAGTTCACTCCTGGTTGGTTTTGCACGCTTTTACCTTTTTGGCCAGACAAAGGAAGCTGAGAAGGCCTGGGTATTGGACGGTTTCTCATCGTGTTTGTGTAGAGTGGTCCGCTCTTTGCGGTTGTTGCCATGGAGGCACCATTGATGAGATCCTGATGGAAGTTCGAGAGAAGCCGGAGAATCAGCACTTTGGCAGCGTTTTCCAGGAATCATCTCTTTCAGACACAGCGCCCGGAGCGCTTCAGGTTAAACACATGCAGCATTTCCTGTGTTTTGCAAGGGGACACTGAGTCCGAGGGCAGCCGCCCCTGACTCCCCCGTTGACCGTTTTGCGGGCGCTTGGACGATTTCCTTTTCTTCGCTTTCTCCAAGTGGCATTGGAGGACCTTTTTCTCCGGTCAACATGCAGGTCGATATGGGATGATTCCAGCGGAGTTCACTGTTGAATCCGATGGTCTTCCTTTCGCCGCCAAAAGATCAACGAAACAGCTATCTCAGTGTTTTTCTTGGATTAGTAGCCTCTAGCTATTAATAGCGATGCCCTTGTTCCTAGTAGCGATGCCCTTAGCTACTAGTAGCTATGTGCTACTACTAGTTGGAGGATGCGCTTTGACCATCAACTCGTCCCATCCGCACCGCGCCGCGCCCAGGAAGGGCGAAGTGGTTCTCCTCGTGGCCGGGCGCGCCGAGTCCGAGCGCGGTCCGGCCGTGGATGCCATGGAGGCGCCTCCGCGGGCGAGGACGGGTTTGCCACGGGCGACGGGTGGAGACGAGAGAAGATGAGACGGAGACGTTGGTGAGTGTTTAAATGGAAGAAGACTGAGTGAGAGACGTTGGTCAAAGAAACACAAGGTGGCATCCTCGGTGTGCGCTTTCCATCGGTGCAAAAACCCTGCTTTACCCGACACGGAACTGGTCTCCATTCACCGTCCGGTTGCATCGCCATTTCCACGGCGCCTCGGTATTTCAGCAGAAGCGTAGGCCGGAACCAGCAGGCCATACCAGCAGGCCACTGTCATGAAATCCTCCTCCAAGGTCGACCACGGCCGACCCATTCCAAGGCCCAACCCATTCCATGTTTGGAGACCAGGTCACGGCCGAGGAATTCCAGAACTGGTGAGACGTCTTGGGTTCTCCGAAAATGGGAGATTCGAATCGGATTGTCGAGATGACGTCCGATCTTTCGATGACGAACTCACCTGACCTTGGTTGACTATCCATTCACCGCGAACCTTGCTTCTAGTGGTCAGGCCAGGAGTGCCCCGTTCGTAGCGTCCGATCGCTCCGTTCGTAGCGATGCCCTTTGTTACTATAGTAGCATTCTTGGTACTAGTAGAAAGGCCAGGAGCCACTAGCAGCGTCCTTTTGTTCCTGACAAAAGAAAACGGGAAAAACCACTGCCACATTTCATCCGTCGGCCACCCGAGGTGCTCCGGATCCTGAGTGCCGAGCTACCTGAGAGCCGCTACACCAAGCCGGCGAGGGACGAACGGGGCGCTCCTGGCCTTACTACTAGGAGCAAGAAGCTACGTGGTTAGCAAAGGGTCATTGTAGTGCTTGATGGCAGTGAACTACATTTGCCTTTGCTCCTTTGCTCCTTTGCTCCTTTGCTCAGCTGACTGAGAGTCTTTAGCTGCGGTGCTAAGCTGTACCTGAAATAATATATATCCAGCGATGGCCTCCAACCTAATTAATCACTATGGTGTATTGCTCCATGCGGATGGTGCCTTTTCTGCTTTTGGGGCTCCGATTTCGTCCTAGGCCGGGCGGTGGCCTTGGCGGCCAAGATTGCCGGCGTGCCAAAGAAGACGCTGCGGCTCGCGCAGCGCGCGCGCGCCAACGCACGCCGCTCGGCGGCGAAAGCAGCGTCGCTTTTTTGGGAAAGAAGCATTTGGAAAGAGCTACTGGGGCTCCTGGCATCGCTACTAGGAGCAAGGACGCTACTAGGGGCTCCTGGCTGTGTTACTAGGAACAAGTAGCCACTAGTAGCGTTTGGAAAGGATCCGGTTCCACCTGCGGACTCTATTGTCAGCAGTCCCAAGGGGGCCCCTCCTGGGCGGGTTGCAGCTCGATAGGCCTCTTTGGGGTAGATATTCCACGGGCGTCCGACCAGACTAAACGTTTTTGGGTGCCAACTCGGGTCAAGCATTCTTTTTCCATCAGCAGGAACCAGGTCTACTGAATCACACCTTGAGCGAAACTGGCACTTCCGACTGCCTGTTGAGGCCCATGAGGCTCCGTTGCGGCCGCCCAGCGCCTCACAAAAGGGCGCGTCCAAAAGGGCGCTGTGAGCGGCGATCGAACGGCTTGGGCTTCGTCGCTGGTGTTTTCGGATCGCCGTGGAGGTGTCCAAGAGGCTTTGATCTCAAAACCTCTGCATCGGCCTTTTTGCACCAGTTGGGACTCAATTCGGAGCTAGTTGGGACTAGTCGAGTTGGTTCATGGTCAACAACGTGACATCTTAGCACTTGCCCGATGAGAACCAACAAGTTACCTGGCCCTTCTTGATGTTGGTGGCAAGGATCTTCGCCCCGTTTTTCCCTCACAGCATGATGCAGCCCAAGGAGTCAACTCTTTCCAGCCCAAGGAGTCAATGATGGACCCCCAGCTTTTAACGGAAACATCAGATCATCTGATCGCAGATCTGATCGCAGGTCGAGACGTCACCGACATCGGAGATTCCGGTGGTCGCATAGCGCGATGGGATGCCGTGGACGAGTTTCTCACTGTTTCTGTGTGCTCCCAGACTAAACCCTTGTTACTAGAAAGCTTTCTTGTTCCTAATATAGCCATGGCCTGAAAAACTACTGGCGATGGCCGAGCACATACCGAACAAAAAGCAACGCCAAGCGGCCGAAAAAAGAGAAGTGCCAAGCCAAGCCTGTGCTCGCAGTGCTTTGTTTTAAGCTCAAAGCTCCCTTCACCTTCCCGGATTCACCGCTTCCTCGTCCATCGCGCAGCTCGGACGAGCGATTTTCCTTCGGTCTAGCTGTCTCTTTCGGGGCGGTGGGTTCGGTCTTGGATCAGCGGAAGGATCCTTTCCCCTTTTTTGGAGGTAGAACATCTCTTGGGTTGCAGTGTTTTTCCCTTTTTGCCGTTCCTTTCCTGGCCTCGCATGGTCTTCCTGTCCACGGTGGAGGGAGTGACGCCCAAATGCATAGCGAGCGAGCTTCGATTGACCCTCCTGCATCAACAGCAGATTTGGACCGAAAGGGATGGTGAAATGAACTCGACAGCAGATATAGAAGAAACTGTTTCAGAATTGGCCGTGTCCAATTTTTTGTCAGTTTTTGCTGTTTCATACAAAGAATGTCAAATAATTACTATGCTGCCATGGTTGTTTTTCAGGCGAAAGAATCAACACTTACGGACTACCCTGACTACTCAAAAGTCCGATCTTTCTTTTTGGAAGGCCACGAATCGTTTGGGTGGGATTTTCATGGCGGGTTGATCCTCCTCTCGGGTTTCGACCGGTCCCGTCGTGGGGTCTCCAGCGTGTGACTTGGTCGGCTAGCCGGGTACGGTGAGAAGATGAGAGAAATGAGACAAACCTGACATTGAAACACCATTTCTATAGTAGAATTAAATTAGATTTAGATTAAATTAATAGCTTCTTGTTACTACTAGTAAGGCACTTGTTACTACTAGCGTGGCACATGTTACTACTAGCGTGGCACTTGTTCCTAGTTAGTAGGGGTACCTCTATACTTGCTTTCAAAAAGGTATTTGGGTTGGTTTGGTGCGCAACCCGCCTGCAGCTGCTGTGAGGATGGTGTCGAGGATTTTGCCATTCTTGGCCTTGTTTATCGAATCTTATGCTGACTGTGAAGAAGGTGCTTGGCAAGCTTGTTGTGGAAGTCAGCTTCAGGGGGGAATTCTGCTAGGGGGAGGTTCTTGGGACTTCGCGGGCAGAGACAATGCTCAGGTTGCAGCAGGACCAAACTCAACAAAGCACCTTGAGTGGATCTCCTCACATCCTGAGTCCTGAGTGCTCTTTTATTTCTAGTGGATTGCTAAGTCGTTTTGTTCTTTCCGTGAAGATCAATCTTCTTCCCTTCGGGGTTGAGGTCATGGTGCCATGTGGTTGAGATCACTCCACATGGGACTTCCTCCCTGTTTCCTGTACAAGTAGAGGATGTAGAGGATGTAGATACTCTGACTCTGGTGAGCCAGGACCTTGGGGACCTACAAGAAGAACTTCATTTGGATCACACTTAACTTGCCACTCGGGTTCCGCAGCGGAATGGCCATGCCTTCGCAGCGGGTTACGCCGCGGTGCGGTCGGTCCGCTCGTCGCAGGCGGAACGTGCCATGCCACCTCCAACGTGCTCTTGCAACGGAAACGCCGCTCGGCGCACCAAGATCAGCTCGGTGCACGTCGGCCGCCGAGCGTTTTTTTGGTCCCCAGATGTCGCACTCGAGGTGAGGGACGCCCTTGGTCGAGGGTCCAAAGGACATGGTGAGGATTTGAAAGAAGGATCCCTTTTTGGGGGAAACTTTAGGCTCACTGAAAACCTCATGCTCATGCTGATGTTTTGCGGCGACTTTCTTGGGGGGGCATTCCTTCATATGTTCGTTCCATGCCCTCACGAAAAACCGTGAAGAGAATTTCCAGATGCATCATTCTTTTTCCTGCGAAAGCAGTAAAGAACCATCAAATGACATCACCCCTGCTGCAGGTGAAGAGCTCTCGCAGCAGATGGTCTATGAATCGACCTATGATGGCGCCGTGGCGTGCGAGCGGAGCGGGCGAGGATGGGTGAACTCACGTACCTTTTACAGACACGGCACCCTTTCTTTCTGTGGCCCTCCAACCTAGTAGTGATGGCCAGAGTGGCCTTTGGCCCTAGTAGTGTTTGGATTTTGGGGGACGTGAATCACCAAAGCAAACCTCTGCAGGAAAGCCATGAAAACAAGGATCCCCCCGAACCGACCGGTCGCATCGAAGCCCAGGTGGCGATTCCGGGCCGATGCTCATGGACGGCCACTTCACCTTGAGCTACGATCCCTCGGTCTATTGCTGCGATGAGGCCACCATCAAGGCTGGTGATGCAGTCGATGTTCCTGTTCGTTGATGCCTCAAGCTAACTCTTTTTTGCTGATCTCTTTATCTGATACTCGATCTGTTTCCTTTCTCATCCCCTTTTGACGGAATCGATTCCGTCTCGACCGTCCGCACCGACACCGACCAGCCACACAAACGTGGTTCAGGACATGCAGCAGAAAGGCTTCGTGTCCTTCCAGGAGGGCCTGGCCGAGCTCTTGGGCTTCGGTTTGACCTCCGCGGACCTGGTCGACTTGCAGTTCGTGCCGAACCCGGCGAACCACTCGGAGGTGGTGCCGCGGGACGGGACGGGTGGGACGGACGTGGGACGGATGAGACGCATGGCATGGAGCACGTCGTGAGGGACGTATGTGAGGATTGGTCATTAGAGTCTAAGACCTTCAGTGCAACCTTTTGGTGGTGTTTATCAATGCACACAAGTTGTGCTGTTGAGTCAAAGCGGCTGTTGAGTCAAAGACCTGTGCCCCTTGAGAAGCACGATAAACACGCTTCTAAAAAGCAAGGGTTTGAGCATGTACTTTTCCACTCGTCATCAGCAGCTCATCTTCACTCCGGGGATAAGGCTCCTTACATTGTTTACATCACATTGTTCCAAGACAATCAGCGACTTGCTGTGTAAACCATCACCACCCGTTTTGTTTTCAAGCTATATTAGGTTGGAGGCCGCTAGTAGGTTGGAGAGGCCATTGCTATTGGGAACCTAAGAGCTTTTAAAGACCTATTTTCCTTTTTGTGTGGAGCCCTTGTTTGGAGCCGTCAAACCCGCTCACCGCGGGAGGTCGATGTGAAGTTCCTGTTCAAGTGCCCGGCAGCAACTTGGAGAACGCGTTGCTGGTGGACTCCTGGACGTCTGGAGTAGCGGTCTGGACACCGACAGGTCGTGGTAAGAGACAGATCGAGCTTTCTGGGTCCCCGTCAAAGCTGAAGAGTTCAGGGCCGCTTCTTCGGCACCCCCAGCTGAAGTGTTCGCTCTTTCACTGAACTGTTTGTTCTGGAGAGACAGTGGTTTTGGACCAGTCCTTGGTTTTGGACCCCTTCTCCGGACCTCACAGGGCCTAACCAAGCAGAGCCCTAGAGCTCGGACTTTGAAAGCCGGCCGCCCAGTAACAATAACATTTCTTTGTTTCTAGTAGCGATGGCCTCCAACCTAAGAGCGCAGGCCTCCACCCTAGTAGCAATGGCCAACCTAGAAGAACTTCAGCAAGAACTTCATATGTTTTACGTTTTTCAAGCAAACAACACGTTTTTAATGTCCGTGGGTCCCGCAGTTCTCATGCTTCTTCTGTGGAGAAGTTCAGTCTCATGTTCAAACACCCCCAGCCTTTTTTTTGTTCCCTAGACATCCCACAAGTGGAGTACGGCCTCTGGAAAAAGAGTCTGAAACTACTGCGGTTACAACTCAGCTTCCATGTAAGTGGGAGGGGGTGTTCTTCCACAGAGTCGTGGATACCCCACCTTTGGAGAAAGATGTACATGCATCTCTGCTGCAGCCGCGGGGTTCTTCCTTCAAGCAGCCGCCCGACACGTCCCAACTTGCCACACAGAGTGGCAATGGGACGTCGCCAGAGAGTCCTCAACAGGATCTTGTTCTTTCAACTTCAAAAACCTCAACCAGTTGCCAAAAGCATGTCCTCAACCATTTTCCCAGTTGATCTGAGAGCCCAACGACCTCGTCCATTCGATCGATTCGATCGATTCGATCTGGCCTCGCCCGTCGCCGGGCACCGCGTGATGCCGAGGCGCTCTCAGCCGCGGAGATGCAGGCGCCGCGGGTGGAAAAGCGTTGGGGAGGAACGAAGGAGCAGAGAGACGGAGCACATCGAAGGTTTCGGTGAAGAATGAGAGGTGAAGAATGACATGACATCAATCGAAGGTTGGGCTACCCAAGGGCCAAGAGATGCGGCCTTCGTGTGGCTTGGTGGGGTAGAGATTGTGCCTAAACCGCGCAGTGAGAAACGTTCCCAATTTGTGTGAAGACAATGACAAACGCCGAGCAATCATGAATCCGGCCCCAATCAGCTCATTTCTTCTGAGTTTGGAAGATCGGTTGATCCTGTAAAGGAAGACCAAACGGATCAACCGGAGAAAACCACCGCTGTGAGACGACCGGGATCCACGGTGAGACGACGGTTCGGGGATCGTCCGAGATCGGCTTCCGAGGTCACATGACGTGTCACGGAAAGCGTCCGAACGCTCCGTTCGTAGT